TGTTTCTAGACCATTTGAATAGATGACAATGTCCTCAATCTCATTTAGCTGCGATTGCCACTGCTTGTAGCTTGGCTCGATTTGTGGAGGCCTCATGTATTCTTCTAAACAACATCGTCAGTATTTACATCATTGGTGCTGAAGGGTGTTGAGCAATTTGCCCTGTCTGTTGACATTAATTGTTTCGAGCGCCAAATTGCCAACAGTGAACTGGTTCTCAGTAAGTGTTCCCTGACGATGGCATTTATTTTAGAACGGGCGCGGCCCAGGACCCTAGGATGCATTGGCTGTTGAAGTTTTCAATATGATGGGATCTAGAGCTCGCTGAAGGAGTTGCACTTGACACTATTATGCCATTCTCCACCATTTCCTCGCACAGTAGCACCTGCATGAAAAGGCAGACGCGGTGCCTTAGATACTCTTCGCCCTGTCGTTCTATGAGAGTTAGACGATGACTGCAGTACGTACGCATGCTCATTTTGAGATTACTTCGATGCATTCAGTACTGTTCCGCAAAATCTCCTCCCTAAAAAAGATCTACCTGTGGCTTAGCCTGCTGGATCCTCTCCAGATTAGCATCTACACTCAGGTTGTCAGACCTGGCAGTCGGATTTCTACTTGTCTATATAACAGCTGGGTAATGATTAAGGCCTTCATTTCATCCCTTCATATTTCTCAGCTTCAAAATGGAAATCAGATGTCGCGCAGTGATTGCTTGCATGCACAAAACATTGACGATTCGTTTGTTGATAATGCAATTTAAAAGGGAGACTCGTCTCCAGCTGCCGATGCGTGGCATGTATCATGCGACTGCATGGTCACTTGGACGTGTTCAACTACTTACCTATCAGTTGGTAGTCCAGTGCGCGTCTCGACTGCGAACATCTCGCATTCCTAAGTCGATATTTTCCCAAGCAAACCTCATTCCCCGGCATTCGGCTGTTGCCCTGTCGTCCAATCTCCCATTGCCCCTTTTTGCTAAATCCTTCTTTCAATTCTTTAGAATGTCTCTTTCATTCAACGTCCACGTTCCTGCGACATCCTTCTGGCGATTTATGGACGCCGAATCCGTTATCTCCAACGTTTCTTTTATACTTCTATATTCCCTGTCTTGCTTAAAATTAATTTGGGCAGAATATCATTACCGACGGAGACGAGGGTCAGTTGATGACCAGTTCTAGCCTGTTAGCCCTCATCGGCCAGCCATACCGTAGGCGGCCTGGGGTTTGCAACATCTGAGGCTTGATCCCCCCCCCCCCATCATTTGGTTTAAAGTCCGACGCAATAACCATTGAGCCAAAGGTTCCTTGTCCCGTCGACTGCGATTGGGCAATATAACAATGTTAGACGGGACGCGCGATTTCGCGAGCTCGACCCTCGGGAGTTGGACATGGCTGACTGACGACAATCAATAATCCAGAAATAGCCATTCCACTCTCCGTTGTCTTTGTCGTTAATGCCTTTCTGCCTGAACTACGCGTCGCTGTATGGCTGATGGCGGGGCTCGAGAAAGAACCGCAAGCCACAACGGGACTTGTGAAATCCGTATCGCGACCGGTGCACACGACAATTTTGATCGTTAAGAATGATGTGGTCATTTTGATTCGTGACTTCTGCTGCCCCTCTTGCTGGTGTGTTTTTTGTCTGAATCATTTCACGAAACTTCACAACAGTCAAACAATTTGCTGATGGAATGCCCGATTATGTTGTCCATTCCCGTCAAACTGAATTAATTACTTTGTACTCTTTCTGCCCCATGCACCATGACTTCCGACATAACGCTTGCTATAGGTCCGCTTATTAGCCATCTGTAACGTCATTTCTGGCAGGACATGCGACGTACAAAGAGATAAGGACTCCGAAACTGCGACATTTTCAGTCCCCGCCATATAAATTAATTTTCTGATAATTCTGTAATTCATGCTCACGCATGCTCCAAACAGATCTTGGTTGAGCCGGACTGGGGCCATATGCATCCAGCTAACGTACCAGTTAGAGATCAATTAAAACAAACCTCCAGACGCTATTGGCTGCAGGAGATCCACTATCTCCCGTATAAAGAGAGTAATGATTGTTATTGCTAGTAGTTTTGGGAATTTCGCCACTTTTGACGTGCGCATCTTAGAATCCGGTTGTTTGACGTCCATGAGATTTGTGGTAAGAAGCTAGCACTGCTCATTTATTAGGCATGATTATACTCATTCCAGGGTCCGACTTTGCGTTGGACCCCACAGCAACAGCACCATTTAGATCATGTGACTGTCACTCTCCGAGTTGAATTATCTTCTGCACTTCTCAGGATCGTTGCAATGCCGCCTAGCCTGACGATTCAACACCTGGTGAGAGGTTGTGAGTTGGACGATATAATTACCGTCATCTGAAGATTCTAGTTAATAGGATTTTATAGCTACTCATCTCGACCTTGAGCGTTGCGTTCAAGAACCACTTTCGAATAGTAAAAATGCGCGAACTCAAAGCCATGCGTTTTGTGGTTGTGTTTATACATTTTAAACCCTTATAAACACTCCCACTTTCTTTTAAACATTTCTCGCACAGTTATACAGCCTACACCGTTTTAATTCTATTTGATTTAATTTTAGATTTTTCGAAATCATATCTTCTACTGCAGTGTTTATATACTAAGCGCGCCGATGGTTGTCGCGTATCATTGAATAGTATTATAAAAAACGTAATTCAATTTTTAAAACCATCTGTAATAATATACGGGTGGCGGGGTTGGTGGTTTTGACCCATGGCCACTGTGGGGTCCGTATGTAGTTCTTCTGTGCGCATACGACCGGTATTTTTGACATATTTTAGACCAAATATAACCACCTTCTAGTAAACATTCCCCACACAGTTATACATCATAAACCCTTCATATTCATATTAATATTCAAATTCATAGTTAAATTCGTCTAAGTTATGTTTGCTGACGCACAGTTCATAAATTGCGGACAAACATACGTATAATGCATCATTGAGGAGTTATATTTACTACGCAGGAAAGTTTTAACCACATTGTACTAAGATATATGTCGACACATATTTGATCCATAACGCTCTCTGTTTGATATCAGCCGGGCATTGGATGGTAATTACATACCCTATACGAGATACGAAGATTTCCTCACCCAATCTATCGCTTTCCCATTAGAGGAAGTTGGCGCCTTATCGCACTGATATTTTATTTCTCTTCGTGCTTATCTTAATCGGAACGATATAGGTCCCTTGATTTTTTAAGCATTCGTAGACCCAGTATCTTCCAACACTCGTGTTGATTATTCTCTTGACGACATTTTGAGTTTCTACCCCACACTTTTTACTTTAAGAAATGAAACCCATTTTTTCGTTTAACAGTAATCTATCTTACCAGGTTTTTCAAAATTTCGCTCCAATTGCAAGCAGGCATTGCTAACCAACTCCGAGCGGAAAAGCACATATTGCGATACATCCCGTCAGCACTTTTGTCGACCCATGCATTTGTCGATAACGCTGCTTCCCCTATCCACAGACCCTCGTATGTTAACTTCTGGAATACAGGTTTTACAGTTTTCTGGCATCAGGAGGGTGGCATGTCGAAAGAAACTGCTCTATAAGCAAGGCTTAGGTGATATCCCCGAGGGTGCTGATGGCGTGATTATAAGTTAACATTGTCGGCGTGGCCGTCCCGTTTGTTGGCCAGGTTTTCTATATCTTCCTCCCCTTCTTTGTTGATAAGCGAATCGTAATGGCTAGTGCTGACGAAGATTCTGGCTCACCAAAACAGCTACAAAGAGATTTACTTTATGTAAATGACTTTTAAATGTTACTGGATGTCTTCCATCCAGCTCAGATAAGCACCATCTTCAACAGGTTTTTGTCTTAAATGCTGTGCTTAACCACTTTTTCGCTAAATCTTGTCATACTCCTCAAGCCCGTACATTATCACACCGCCGCAATCGATTCATTTCCCAAAGACTCTACTGACTTCAGGTCCGAATGCTTGTGCCCACCTGCCTGTCCATTCTTGCGTACCCTAGGATCTCTAGACACCTGTCCCTTAATCATCCAGGTCCCTTGCGTTTCGGTCTGACTACAGAGGTGTTCTGATATTGGCTTGGTTGTGTTGATGACGTAATTGTCCACCCAGCGGCTAAAACTTCAATATCAACTGATAGGTGTCTGGTCGCCTGGCTTCCTGCTGACCCATCACTTCCCCAACTGCCCATTGCTCCTCCGTCTTTTCCGCAAACGCTGTGGCCCCTCTGAGTTCCATGGAGTCTTTCAGTCCTCTCGTCTGTTACGCGAAGTCCAAATCTTCTGCTCAGATCATATGAGGGCTACTTATGTCGTCGGGGACGCCAGCTTTAACTTGACACTGGCGGTGCCCCACCCGAAATTGCTCATTTATATCAACTGCCATCCTCCCTCAGTGTCTTTAGCGTAAACTTTTGTATAAAAATAAAAGAATGTCCTTACGGTCGAATGGCGGTTTTGAGCCCAAGTCTCTGATGACCCCCTGAAAGCAATCAGCCTATTATTTTATTGCACATGTGCTTGGAATATTTCGCGTAATTTTATAGCACGTGCTCAATCGCTGAGGTCAGAGCACTCTGCACTCTTTACGACAAGCGGCGCAGGGAATGTCGCATGGACATCGTTGTAAACTGTAACTACCCACATGTTGGGCATCTTTTGGTGGGACAAGAGAATATGGACCTCGTAGTGCAGGCAGCCTTGCCATGGATTCGAAGGGGGGTTTAGATTTAAGATTATTGAGGTCTCCCGCGAGGCTGTAGGCAAACTGGCATTTTCGAGGTGGCGAGGCGCTGGCCGGCCTACACGTCAGCACCCGAGATCGCCTTTTTCGTCAGCACCTCCCGCTGGTCTCGCCGCTGGACGAGGATATAGTCCAGCAGGTGCCACTGACGCGACCGAGGATGCATCCAGGTGGCCTTCTCTTGCATCGGGAGGCAAGAGAAGGCGTTCGTCATAATGAGCTGGTGTTCTGCGCAGGTTCATAGAAGAAGCAGGTCGTTGTCATTGGAGCTGTTGAGAACATGGGGACCCAGGACCCCTCTCCAGGCAGCGTGATCTGTGCCGACGCGGGCGTCGAAGTCACAAAGGCCAGTCACCTTATCCGCCTTCGAAACAGTCACCAAGAGGGTGTGCAGGTCCTCGTAGAATTTGTCCCTTGCGGTGTCGGGGCTGGTCATCGGGTGGGTGTAGACGCAGATGATTATGGCGAATTTTCCTCCCCAGAGTGGCAGACGGAGGCGCATCAGGCGAGTGTTTACACCCTGTGGTGGATAGGTCAATCGTCCCACAGTGTCGTTCCGGATGACAAAGGCAACGCCTGTGTCCTGCCGCTCTGCCTTGGAGCGACCGCTCCAGAAGAGGGTGTAGCCGGCACCCACCTCCTCCAGTTTACCTTGTTCGGAGAAGCGGGTTCCGCTGAGCCCTGCGATACCCACCTTGTAGTGCGCCAGTCTCCCCGCGACCAGCGCCGTCCCCCGTTACGGCCGGTTGCTCCTCGGGCAGTCTAAAAGGGAGCGAAAGCTCCAGGCTGCCAGAGTGAGCGGACTCACCCTACCAGGCGGCGTTGAGGAGGTTTGGGGGAAAGACAGAGAACATTGTTTCTTGTTTGGTTGTTTTGACTGTGTGTTTTGCGTCAGCAAGCCACGGTCTGCGCGCAGATTTTTATGAACCCAGCTTTTGTTTAGGGCATCTTTTATGGGATCCTTCCAGCGGAAAGCAGTGCTCTCCTCAAATAAGGTTGTTTTGTCGCACCAGACGGATACCACTCTCTGTTATGTGTCATTAGGTTTAGTGAAAGAACGACCAATGCCCTGGACCACCTAAGTGATTGTTGTTTCTCTCCTCGTTGGGATTTCGACCGTGGGGTAAGAGAGTAGAGTAGGGTAGGTAGGTAGGAGAGAGAGTAGGGACAGGGGAAGGTGGCAGGTCTTCCAGCCACTGTGTCAGCGGCTTGTCGAGCGCTTGTGGCCTCCTGCGGGGTTACAGACGGGATCACACCTGCGAAGTGTCGATGTGGTGGTGCGTGCGACCAGCGGAGGTGAGAGGGAGCAGAATTACCGTGTGTGGAGATGCATACACGGAGACCCTCACCTGGTCTAACCCACCGGCCGAATCGGGTAGCTTGGTGCAGCCGCCACGGAGAGCCTATCTTCGGGGAGCCACATTTGAGATTTGGGTGTCAGTTAGTCGACGCTAGGCGTAGTAAACACCTGCAAGCAAGTGAGCGGCCTACTACGCCCGTCACGTGAACCCCCCGCTCGCCACCCCTACACCCCACAAATATACACATACGCATGTGGAGGGAGCTTGATGCACCTGCTTGCTGAACCTCCCACACCCTATTTCGCATCAGTAAAACCTGTCCAAAGTAATCCGTCCTTCCTGACTTCGGATTTGTGAACTGTCGTGTGTCGACCCATTACACACTTGACAGTCAATTGCTATATCGCTGGTTGTAAGGGCTCTACAGTGAGCGTAATTGCGCAATGGAACAAGAACACATTCAAACCTGATTAGTAGACACCCTTTCATACTTGGTACTACCCCTAATTACAATCAGCAAAACAACAGACCCGTTGCTCCCTGGCAGATTCTCAGACTTCAAAGGCGCTCAATGGTAGGGAAATCCGTGTTTCATCCCCAGGCACTTCATACCTGGGTTCGCGTAGGGCTTGTTGACAAGGCGCATTAAACCGGAACCCGTTATCCCAGTGTTTCCCGTCCCAGTTGGTAACACCTGCATTCTGCGCCATTTGACAGCTCATTACAGCCGTTGCTGAGAATACATGGCATGCTTTTATGTCAAACAACCTGGTTGATCTTTGTCTTGTTAAATTTCCGGGGAAATTTACGCACGAACTTGGAGCAAATTCTTCATAACATACCCTGGCAATGGGAGGTTGTGTAACCCCACCTCGTAACCAGTATCCCTAAGCTCTTGTAATAGGGGTCTTACAGATGGGACAATATCACATAGAGGCAGGGAAATACGTTCAACAAAGCTTATAAATATATGGATTTCTTTTGAACTTTTTTTTACGTCCATACATAACAACGGCAGAGAGCACGTTGATCGAGAAATATACAAAAAGCAACTCTCAACAAATAAAGTGCAATCGAATAACCCACCACCTGCAAATTTACGACAACTGCGGGACCAACTGAATGAACAACCAATAGGAGAAAAGAACTGGAAGCGCAGGAAATTGCAACTGCAAGAATGTACTGCGAGATGGCATGATACACATGAGTATTAGAGCAGCTATGGAAAAACACCCTAATGAATAAATCAAAAGTAAAATAAAGCAAGTATAAACGCCTGCCTGTTTCTTTATGATAAGTCAACTAACTACTCCAAAATAAAAATATATGGGAAATAAATATCCCAAAATGCAATTTGGCGAGCATACGTATGCTTTCGATAAATTCTCTTTAGGCCTGTAAATTTATACGACTATTAAAGTAATGAATTAAAAGCTAAGGGCAATTAGGTAGTTAAGCTTTAGCTCGTGTTTGGAGAGGGGAGGGGAATGGGAGGGGAAAGTGAAACACCAAAATTTCAGTCAAAGACAGGGAGGTGAACCCCGAGGAACGTAATTATATGCGGTTGGCTGGCGTGGTGGCTTTGAGCCATGGAAACTGTGGGACCTGTGTGAAGTTCTTCTGTGCACATATGGCCGGTCGGCGTAGCCTGATTGCAGTCACTTCTGCCGTAGCTAAAGTAGTTTTGTCAGCTTGATGGGACCTTGTAAATCATTCTGGAGGCCTCTCTGGCGTCTGCGCGGTGGTCTGTGTCTACCATGCGCGCGAGGATCGACCTGTTGATGTTCTTTATGTGACCCTTTCCCAACCATGCCGGGAGATGTTCTTTTATTTTTTTGGATAAATTCCGGCTCGTGCGACCATTATATTCTCCCCACAGGAGCACGTGAAGGTTTGTAAAGTTTGTGCACAATTATAAAATGCGATTATGAGCACAGGAAGTAATAATGGTTGCTTTCTTCCTTCCAAAATACGGAACACTGGCTCTAAGTCGCAGAAATTTCAGACAACCGCTGCTTGACCTCCTAACCAGAGCGGAGGAAATAACCGAAGCTATGATTAGGAGAAGGTGGTAGAATGATATTACCGACAAAGACAAGGGAGACTGGAATGGCCATTTCTGGCTTATTGGCCGTCGTCAGCCAGTCATACCCAATCCCGAAGTGTAGAACACCCGACGTTCGAACTCGCGACCTACTTGTTAGAAGCCCACGCCTCTAACCACCGGGCCACGGGCCCGTCGCGCTGCCGGTATTTTCCGATCGGGAATATACACCGTAAGAACGATCAGTGAGCGCCTCCTAACACTGTATATTCCCGATCGAAAACCGACAGGGCAACGGGCCCGTAGCCCGGTGGTAAGAGGCGAGGACTTCTAACAAACATGTTGCGAGTTCGAAACTCGGGTGTTCGGGGTGGGGTGTGACTGGCTGACGACGGCTAATAAGCAAGAAATGGCCATTCCAGTCTCCCGTGTCTTTGTCCGTAACATCATTCTGCCTATATCATGTGCCGCTGTGCGGCTGTTGGTTGGGCTCGAGAGAGATTCCATAAGGCACAACGGCACGAGTAAGCTCCGTAAGAACGATCGGTGAGCGCCCCCTACCACTATTTATCGTCCTGTTAGATGAAGAAAGAGAGATTGCCCCAGATTTAGAAAGACAAATTTCCTACCACGTGAACCCGACCATCAAGGTAAGGTGCGATTTGGATCATTTCATTAGCAACATGGGGCGTCCCGTGTCTTCTGACCTCTCCTAAAGTCAACTAACTGATTTAATCTACTTAAGGTAATTAGGTTCATTAACCGAGTTTCTGGTTTATTCGGTTTTTTTGGTGAGTCTTACCACATATCACGAGTTTTGCCGCCGATTGTACATCAATTATAGATTATCCCCTGTCTGTATCTTTAGCGCTTTCGCAATGCAGGACTGTGAAAACACTTAGCACTTCCTGTTTCTTTAGGCCGCGCCAATTCCAAGACAGTACCTTAGTGTTTGAATACAAAACTTGAATTAAAAGAAGCTATCTATGAAAGTTTATTTAGGGCGAGTGGAGTGAAGCGATATTTATACAGTATACGCAGGCTGTCGGATTTACCATATTTGACAGAACAGCTGCTAACTAAAAGCCCTGACACCCGTATTTCCCCGAGAATCTACAGCCACATTAAACAGGTACGAGGGGCTCGGATCCACGGTGCCTTTTGTCTTCTCAGAAATGTATAAACATGCGTATACTACTGGCTGTCTGTTGGCAGGTTATTAATACTAAGTGGTTATCCCTGTGAAAGTGATAAAAGACAGCTAAAATACTCATTTAGGTGTTAGCTTTTAATCCTTAACCGTGTGCATATGTGCATGTACATTTTGAAAGACCATTCGTCGACTTTTGTGGAATCGAAATAAAATACTTGCTTAATGCCAAACTGTCTCATTCGAGGGAAACATGGTTTTGTTTTCAAAAAAACCAGTTCATTTTACTGACTGATTTGAGCGGTGTCTGCAACTCACATATCAATAATTATTAAAGTCAATATGAATTATTTTCGGACTATCAAGTGGGCGTTTGACCCTCACTGTTGTGGTTAGGATCTCACTCGATCCCATTTTTTCCGCCCGCCAGCTTGCTACTGGCGACAACGAACGCTGTGTCAGAGGACATATACCACATATAATACATGAGCAGCTCGCTATGAGTGCAACAGGTCAGACGCAGACAGCTGTTTCACTGTCGTTACTGATCATCAGTACGTCATAGGCCTGATAAAGTGAGGTATATAAGCATATCAAGTGAGCGTTTGACCCTCACTTTTGTGGTTAGAATCTCACTTGATCCCATTCTGTCCGCCCGCCAGCTTGCTACTGGCGACAACGAACGCTGTGTCCGAGGGTCAACCACCTACTTGATGTGCATCTACCCTTTTGAAGGAAGGGATTACGGAGGGGGGGGGCAAAAACCAAAGACAACCTCAAGTTAAATAAATTATCCTTGAAAAAGATCATGCCAAAACAACTCGGTGCTTGTGTCTATATCAGTGTACTAGGTAAAACTCAAGGGTAAACCTCCTGTAGGTATGAATAAGTAGACAAATCAAAGCCTACTAAAACAACTGAAGTAGTTGGTTACACATATCATACCTAGAAGGTTTACACTACCTGTCCTCACCCAGACCTTTTTAGGCATAGCTCGAAAGCCGATATGAATATTTGCGCTGAAATCCATCAGCTACTATGGAATAACAGCGTTCTACTCAAAAACCGTCAACGCGCAGTCAGTAGAGCAAAAATATGCAATTATTTGCCGATCGGGAATATAGCCCGAAAGAACGATCGGTGAGCGTCCCCTATCATTGTACTTTCCCGGTCAAAAACCGACAGGGCAACGGGCCCGTGGCCCGGTGGTAAGAGGCGTGGACTTCTAACAAACAGTTCACGCGTTCGAGCCTCGGGTGTTCTACACTTCGGGGTTGGGTGTGACTGGCTGACGACGGCTAAGAAGCTAGAATGGGCCATTCCAGTCTCCTGTGTCTTTGTCGGTAACACCATTCTGACTATATCATGCGCCGCTGTGCGGCTGCTGATTGCGCTCGAGAGAGATTCCATAAGGCACAACGGAACGAGTGAGTTCCGTAAGAACAATCGGTGAGCGCCCCCTACCACTATTCATCGTCCTGTTAGACGGAGAGAGAGATTGGCCCAGATTTAGAAAGACAAATTTCCTACCACGTGAACCCGACCATCAAGGTAAGGCGCGATGTGCATCATCTCATTAGCAACATGGGGCGTACCGTGTCTTCTGACCTCTCCTAAAGTCAACTAACTGAGTTAATCTACTTAAGGTAATTAGGCACATTAATCGAGTTTCTGGTTTATTCGGTTTTTTTGGTGAGACTTCTCACATGTCACGATTTTCGCTGCCGATTGTACATCAATTATGGATTATCCCCTTTCTGTATCTTTAGAGCTTTCGCAATGCAGGACTGTGAAAACTCTTGGCACCTCCTGTTCCTTTAGGCTGCGCCAATTCCAAGACAGTACCTTAGTGTTTGAATACGAAATTTGAACTAAGAGAAGCTATCTACGAAAGTTTCTTAAGGGCGAGTGGAGTGAAGCGATATTTATACAGGCTATCGGATTTACCATATTTGACAGCACAGATGCTAACTAGAAGCCCAGACACCCGTATTTCGCCGATAATCAACAGCCACATTGCACGACTACGAGGGGCTCGGATCCACGGTGCCTTTTGTCTCCTCAGAAATGTATAAACATGCGTATACTACTGGCTGTCTGTTGGCAGGTTATTAATATTATGTGGTTTTCTCGGTTAAAGCGATAAAATTTATCTAAAATACTCATTTCACCAATCGGATATAATCTTAAAAATTTCCTTCCGAATGATTTACTGCAAGTCAGTACGTTTATTCATCAGTTGAGTACAAATGCGAAGGTTCTGACATAGGTGTTTGCTTTTAAACCTTAACCGTTTGCATATGTGCATGTTCATTTTGGAAGACCATTCGTCGACTTTGGCGGGATCGAAGTAAGATACTTGCTTAATGCAAAACTGTCTCATTCAAGGGAAATATGGTTTTGTTGTTAAAAAACCGGATAATTTGCCTGACTGAGCTGAACAGGGTCTGCAGCTTAAATATTAATAACTATTTAAAGTATTTTGGGAATGCCAGCGTGACTATTGAACCATATAC